GGAGCCAACCACCCTGGGGGAAATGGGCTGTGGTTCTTCTGGGTTCCTCTAGGATTCCTCTAGAATTTTCCAGGAATTCTGTTGGACTCCTGGGCTGGGAAGTCCTGGCTTTACTTCCAATAGTAATTTGCTGAGGGTCCTTGGGAAAATCCCTACCCCTTCTCTGGACCTCAGTTCCTTCACTTGTTTGTTCCTTGATTCATTCATTCATTCACCCATTTCCTCTAACCCTGAGTATCTGCTCTGTGTGGTGAAGCAGGCCTGGCCCCTCACACTGACCCCAATCAGGATAGAATCAGTGTGTCCTGCTTTTCTGTTGCTGTGTAACTAACAGCTCCAAAACTTAGTGCCTTAAAATAATAGCTTATTATTCTATCTCATGGTTCTGTGGATTGGCTAGGTTCTGCTGGGAGATTCTCCCTTGGGGTCTGTCTTAGTTATCTAGTACTGCTATAACAGAAATACCACAAATGGGTGGCTTTAACGAACAGAAATTTAGTCTTTCACAATTTAGGAGGCTAGAAGTCTGAAATCAGGCTGCTGGCTCTAGGGGAAGGCTTTCTCTCTCTGTTGGCTCTGGAGGAAGGTCTTTGCTCTTCTGAGCTTCTGCTCCCGGGCGATCTTCATGTGCTTGGCATCTCTCTTCCTTGGTCTCTGCTTGCTCTCTTCCTTGTTTAATGTCTTATATCTAAAAAGAAATTGACCCAAGACACACTCTATACTAATCCTGCCTCATTAACATAACAAAGACAACTCATTCCCAGATGGGATTATAACTACAGGCATAGAGATTGGGATTTACAACACATATTTTTGGGGAACACAATTCAATCCATAACATTCTACCCTTTATCCCCTCAAAATTCATGTACTCCCTACCTGCAAAACACATTCACCCCATCACATCATCTTAAAAGTCTTAAATCCACTCAAAGTCCAATATCTCATGTTCTGAATCATCTAAATCAAATATGGGTGAGACTTTAGGTAGATTCCATCCTGGCGCAAAATTCCTCTTCATCTGTGAACCTGTGAAATCTAGAATACAAGTTATATGCTTCCAAAGTACAATGGTGGGACAGGCACAAGGTAGACATCTCCATTACAAAAGGGATAAATTGGAGGGAAAGAAGGGATAAAGGGCACCAAGCAAGTCCAAAACCCAGCAGAACAATTTACATTAGCTCTCAAGTCTTGAAAATCATCCCCTGTTCTTTGGGGCCATCTGGGTAATGGCCCTGCCCTTCAGACTCTGGGTGTTGGCCATGCTTTCTGGATTCTTGGTGGAGGCCCCTCAGTCCTGAGATTCAGCTCCACCTTTCAAGCCCACTGGGATGGCAACTCTGCTCCCTCAGCTTTGGGTATCCCCATTCTCCTAGTCCTTTTCAGTGGCAACCCTACTCATTCAGCCCTGGCAGTCCCCGTTCTTGTACCGCTTGGGCGTGGCAGCCCCGCCCCCTCAGCTTTGGGCAGCAGCCCCATCCTCTTGACCAAACTGAATGGCAGCCCCACATTCTGGAACTGAGTTGGTGAAGATCTGATTCTTTGAAACCTAGGAGGCCTTGGCTCTACCCTTTGAAATTCCAGAGGCCATGGCCCCATCCTTTGAGACTGAGGTAGTTCTGCTT